AATCCCTCAAGTACATCGTTGATCGCTACACACGTATCCGTCCATTCTTAGGCCTGTTTCAAACGTCGAGCTTCTCATGTGCCGAACGCATTAGGAACAATAGATAACAAGACGCTCGAAAGATTGTTAACTCGCTGGGGCTATGGTGATACTCATGTTAGATGGTATTGCAATCGCGACCTTTGGGCAGGGCCGTAGCAACCGGGGGGGCTGGGGGGGCTGCAGCCCCCCCCCCAATAATTTGCTAATAATCATTCTTTTTTCAAAATCATGCAAACTTTATCATTTAATCTGTGACAAACTGCAAAGAATGAAGATATTACTCATACTCCAGATCGTTCCTCGCGTAGAAATTTTAGCTGAATTTCTGTCGCGCATTTTCAAGAAAATCCCACAAAATCTGCACATTTTTGATGAACTAATGATTTATTTTGTCTTTTGCGTGTTGGGTCTTGCGAAAGAAAACTCTGAAAATGCCATTTCAGACCATCTAGAGACTCCAGATTTTCGAAATTTTCTCAAATGTTCTGCCTTCATTTCCGCGCAACTGCCATTTACGACGAAAATTCCCGCCGCGCATTTATAATACTACAGTCTGGCCCATACTTTCCTGTAAATTTCGACATACTAAAACGCTGTTTTCTGACTATCAGAATTCTGTTAAATCTTCCCCCAAAGTCCAGGAAATGGCATTTTAGAGACTCTAAATTTAAAAATTTCCTCGGGCCTTCGGCCCTCGCTTTCAGCCCCCCCAATCGAAAAGAGCTTCCTACGGCCCTGTTGGGACACTAGTCCAATGGCAATGGGTTCGATTTTAATTCCACCATGGTCAGACAAACTTTTCAGCTTGCCCGGTGTGGATGCATACTCAGTAACATTGACAAACATCATATTCACCTGAGTACATAACACCAACACACGCAAAAAGTATCATATCTTAGAATACATTTATATCGAAGGAACTAGACTCAGTTCCGAAATATCACCAACTCGAGGTTGGGATACTTGTAGAAATTTAGAAATTCCTAAAAGTTGACAAAAGTGGAAGCCACTGAAATGTAATCAATGAAGCAATGTAATCCATTGAAAATAAGTAGTTTTCATTGCCAGCAAGCAAATTTGGGAAGTGTCTATTGGCTGATTGAAATCGTAGTATGAAATTTTTAGTGAAACAGTTACAGTAACTCACATACAACTATACCATAAATATACATGCAACTATACCATAAATATGGGCTTACACACGGGAGGGCTTAATTACAGGGGGTGGCTTATGTACCAACAACATTTGATGTTAGTATTAATATTTATTGTATGTGTAAACTATACTGTGAACAAAAAGAAATACAAACACACAACCTCGTACCCAGGACACACATACAGTGTATAATCTATATATTACAGTACTGTAATCTAATTATTGTCACTCATCTGAGCTATTGGAATCGCTGTGCTAATTAACTAACAGGCTTAGACATGGAGGGGCTTATATTCAGGGGGGGACTTATATTCTGAATGGCCTGAGTGTTAGTGAATACGGTGGGCTTATATACAGGGGGCTTATACTGGGGGAGGGGCCAGGAGGTTATATTCAGAGGTTTACGGTATATTACTATCCAACGTTTCATATATTCTAGCTGAATCATACTGACATCACCCTGGCCATCCTTTTTGTTAGGCTTTATCAGGCCAAAGTGAGTTAAGCCCCGTTTACACTACGCTCAATTTTTGGTACGGCACGGATAAAATTGGTACCCGTACTACTTTTTTGGTTCTTGGCAAGAACCAAAAAAGTGGTACGGGTACCAAAGTTGGACTACCTATTTAGGTAGTCCAAGAACCAAAAAGTGGTACGGTACCCAAAATTGAGCGTAGTGTAAACGGGGCTTAACTAAATAGGTAGTCCAAGAACCAAAAAAGTGGTACGGGTACCAATTTTATCCGTGCCGTACCAAAAATTGAGCGTAGTGTAAACGGGGCTTTAATTAGTGAGATACTTTCCAGAAGGGTATATTCTGTATGCATTGCAAGAATATACACCATGTGCAAGATTTTAGAAACTTTATATCCAGGCCTAAGGAAGTTAATAATTATTAATAGGATGTTTGTGATGTTACTCTGAATGTATATCCACACTGGGCAAGCTTGACTAATATGCCTGGCCATGGTGGGAATCGAACCTACGACCTTTGGAATACTAGCCCAATGCTCTGCCAACTGAGCTACGTGGTCGAGTATGTGATATTTCGGAACTGAGTCCAGTTCCTTCGATATCAATGTAATCAGTAATACCGAAGGAACTAGACTCAGTTCCGAAATATCACAAACTCGAACCGACCTGAATGCATATTACATAACTCAGTTGGCAGAGCATTGGGCTAGTATTCCAAAGGTCGTATAGGTTCGATTCCCACCATATTTTTCAAGCTTGCCCGGTGTGGATATACCGGGTGGCCCAAAAAAAAGTACTCCTGTTTGATTCGTAATAACATCTAAACAAGTATAGCTTTTAAAGAGAAATAACTTGCATCAAATAGAGGAAGGACCAACTTAGACTTTGATATATTACAGTTGTATTTCACTTAAAAATTCACGGAGATATTAATCTTTAAATTCGGGAGGATATTTCTGGATGTGTCTGAAATATGCAAAATCGGCGTATCAAATATTAATCAAGATTTGCCCGACTGAAACATGCACTATTACCAGTAAATAAATGACACTTGACAAATTGTTTATTATGAAACAAAGTATTATTATATCTACAAAATACAAGCAAGATTCATTCGTCAGAAATTCGCGTGTGTTCCTAGCACGAATACGTTTCCTTATTTCATGAGACCACTGCATCGCGAAGGATCGTCATTGGATCGTTCGTAGTTCTGAATTAGGGCATACTGTCACAACGGAATTGTGAAGCTCTTCTAACTTCTGCAACGTTCTGAAATCTTGTTAAGAACACCCAAACTCTTTTGCCGTTTCTTAATCTTGGCAAGTTCATGGAGTAAGCTGAGAATTATATGAAACACAATCAAACCATACAACTCCATAAGACATAACAATTAAGCAACTCCCCAGAGACATGCAACATTTTTGGAACAAAACGTAACAAAATAGTAGCGTTGATACGGTGATGTGTATTTGCAAAAAGCAATATTATTTCCTTCAATAAAGAATATTCATCCTGCTCTAACCGAGAAATAATCTACTCAGTCTGTTTGAACCCATTAAAAACATAAAAAAATTAGGTTATTTAAGAATACGAAAAATTTAAGCGCCTGCCTTCCATGGTCAGTCTTTCATGTACATTTAAGTTTGCAAAGACCTAATATTAAATACTTGCATAATTTCGAACGTTCATATTTCAGGAAACAATGAGCTAAGACTTACATGTAAGATGTCTAAATCTACGCCATATCCCTTACAAACCTTAACGATAATTCGCTGAAATACAAGTTAGCCTAATATGTCATTAAGCAAACAAACGCTGGAGTTAATATTTGATATGCCGATTTTCGCTAATTTTAGACACATTCCAAAATATGCTCCCCATTTTTAACATTAATATCTCCGTGAATTTTTAAGTTAAATACAACTGTAATATATCAAAATCTAAGTTAGTCCTTCCTCTATTTAATGCAAGTTATTTCTCTTTAAAAACTTTACTTGTTTAGAAGTTATTACGAATCAAACAGGAGTACTTTTTTTTGGGCCACCCGGTACACTCAGAGTAACATCACAAACATCATATTCGCCTGAGTACATAACACCAATACAGAAAAATCACAATTATTAATAGGATTCATGAACAAATACGAAATACTAGGCTTAATTACTAGCCACTTCCCTCTATTGACGATCGAAGCAATCTTTAGGAAACAAAACTACGGAAGCCGTGAAGGGACTTCAGACACTGAGAACAAAGATCAGTAACAGAAGGGTCACTCAGCGGTGCAACGTGTCGGCCAACATGCGTAATGGCAACATGCGCGAGGACAGAAGCTTCAAAGCTTAAGCCTGCCGCACACGAGAGCTATCTGCTGAGCAAAAAGTTACTCGTGCCTGTTAGCTCAGCTGATAGCTCACCGATCAAACATGTTTGATACGTGAGAAAAGGTTGCATGAGGCAAAAAACTCAGTAGAATGTACCCGCACACGGTGAGCTATCGGCTGAGCTAACAGGCACGAGTAACTTTTTGCTCAGCAGATAGCTCTCGCGTGCGGCAGGCTTTAATTTAATTTAATTTAATTTCAAGCTATGATAATAACATGCACTAGCTGAAAAGAAATTGAACAAGTCAATGCATGCTAACGACTTTATAAGCATAGCTCGAGCAGTTGCCATGTAGCTAGCTGTGCTGAAATTTTCATTAACACTAACAGCAAGATATTGGAGACGCTAAACTACGAACACAGTTAATTACACTTCAAGCATAAAGATCTAAATGTTCGCGGGTTTTATGGATTATAAGTAATGTCACCCAAGGTAAAATAAAGCTTCCAACGCAAGGCCTTTCTGTATGGATCTTTATTATATACGTTTCAGACTTCAGACTTCGGACTTCAGACTTCGGACTTCAGACTTCGGACTTCAGACTTCGGACTTCAGATTTTGGACTTCAGACTTCAAACATTGGTTCCGAAGCTCGGAACTAATACCCAACATTGTTTTTGCGTTCCTCTCAGAATCACTTTGTTTCATTTATTCTCTAGCTTATACAGTTGGCTACCTTTTTAAATGCATCTGCCGGTTGAGAAACATAAAATAATAGTTAAAAATTGTCAATTAAAATACAATTAAGTTCTTTGTATGTTTGCATGGTGATAAAATATAATAGTTTTGTAAAAAAAAGGAAAGAAAGAAAGAAAAAAAGAAAGAAAAAAATAAAATAAAATACAATTATCAATGATGCTTTAAAATTGACGGCATATAAGCAAAAGCCATATAAGCAAAACTTACTGAACTTCAGACATCATTTTCTCTTTGGCGTATCATCTAAAATCTCTTCAATTTAGCATTATTTTACAGATAAAGCACTAAACATACTTTTGAAGTTTGTTTGCCGATTGAGAAACGTACTGAGAAACGTAATTTTGAATTTACTGAGTCATAACCTCATGCAAGGTATATTGAGCGCGTGTTACGTAACATACTTATAACTTGATAAATTTACAGAATAAAGTTAATAAATTTTCTGCAGTAATAAATTTACGTGGTGTTTCCACAAACAATAGTATTATATATGTTTTATCGTCCTGCGTTTAAACCTACAAAGAACTCACTGACACATTCCAACAGTCTGCATTTACAGTCTAAATCATTCTGACCATTTTTGACTTTAGTTTGAATAGGTTTGACTGAATAAGTGCCTTAAATATTAACCAGCTTCGCAGAAGCAATGTTGGCTATTAACGAAGCTCAGAGAACCAATGTTTGAAGTCTGAAGTCTGAAGTCCGAAGTCCGAAGTCTGAAGTCTGAAGTCCCTTCACGGCTTCCGTACAAAACAGTATAAAATATAAAAATATAAAGCTTTGTACTTTTTGCCAGTACTAGAAACCATGGATTTTATTATCCATGTAGAAACCAAGTTAACTAACGGCGGTGTAGCCTGCGTGGCAGGCCCTCAATCAGGGTTGGTAGGCTTTCGCGCATGCACAAAGCCAAATGACCTTTAAAAAAGGCCAAATTCTACTAAATAAGGCCAAATTTCATTTTTTTTGAAAAAACCCAAAAAAGAGCCAAATCTAATCACAGTAATTGGCCTGAAGCTGTTGTGATTTCCTGTCACATTTGTAATGTTATATATGTAATTATTGTTATTTGTCATGGGGCTTTGGTGGCGAAGTGGTTAGCGCACTTGCCTTTCACCTCTAAGGCCGCAAGTTCGAATCTCAGTGACAACTTCTCAATGTGACTCGAACCCAGTCCTCGTGTGAAAAGAGTAAAAGTCAACGCTCTGCCGCAAGTCGTGGGTTTTCTCCGGGTACTCTGTGTTTCCTCCCACAGGGAAAGTTGACAGGGTGGGTTAGGCACATAGATCTCGAGGCAGATCATTAATGAGGTATGGATTAATAGCGGCTGCTCAAGCGCCATTTGTAAGCTCAAAGTCTACCTCGGTCTGCTTCACGTCAGTCCGGTTCTATCTATCTAGCTATTCATAATGTAACCAGTCACTGAAAAGCCCTGATAGGGATTGTGCTGTGAAATATCTGTATCTGTATGTATTCTTGTTGTGATAAAGCGGTAAAATTAAAAATTAAAATTATCAATATTTTCGACTTACATTGGTCAGGTATCTCTAGGGTTATGTTGATAACTTGATAGATACACAAGACCATCATGGCGGTCGTTGTTGATCCTTGTGAAATACTCAACGTTTGTGCGAACGAAACTAACAACAAAACCTACGAGAATTTGTTAAAGTATAAAGAATACTTCCAAGTGCAACCTGACAAGAAAATTAAATGGCTAGGAAATTTTGACGAACTGAAATGTTTGATATTTGATTTGTTTGGTGCCGATGGGAAATGGAGTTCGCCGAGAGGCTCAGCAAAGGCATTTCGAAACGATAAAATAACTATTACATATTACATATTACACCAACAAGAAATCTTTGTTATTTCAAGGCCAAGAAGGTAACCGTTTGAAAGAGGTTATATTAAATCAATCAAGTAAGAGTTCTGACTTGTTTACGGACAGTATAGTTAGTCATGAATCTATCATTTGTGCTTCAAACAATGATAACCTGTTATATGCAAGTCAAACCGTGGCCAAAACAGCTAAAATATCTATGATTAGCGACAATACTAGATCTAAAAGCGAGGTAACAGAAACAACATCAGATTGCTCAACCCTTGAAGATCTACAAGACTTTATCGACTTTTCATATCAAAATATATTGCCGCTAAGTGATAATGCCAATTTATCTTCTACCCGAACCTTTGATTGTTCTACCCCGTCTCGCCCGAGTGTTGATGACAACTCGCCTGCTATAGAGAAACTTTTTGGCACTTTCAAAAGGGAGTTTGAATCTAAGGTCGAAGCCTTGATTTTCGAACTTTCGGAGCAGAGGGAAACCATTGACAGATGTAAACAGGATATATGTAAATTGACCAGTGAAAATTTAAATCTAAAGTCACGCCTGGCGGAACTCGAACAAAA